CTCTTTCCTGCCTATGCAGGGGGTCGGACTCGATGATCTATTGAGGTCCCTTCCAACCCTAACATCTATGAATCTATGAATCTATGAATTATCATTGTCCTATGATCCTGATTCAGGGCACAGCCTCACCCATGCCTCCCACTCATGGACACTACTCCCTGCCCACCTGCACCCCCTCCCATCCACCCAGCAGATTCCCCTATTTTCATCTTTCACTTCAGTCAACCCCTTTATGGGACTTTACTCCCTGATCACACCTGCCCTGCTGCACTAGAGGAATTCCCATATTTCCTTCCCTCTACTCGTGTCCTCTTCCCCAGCTCTTTGTCTGTCTCACTCTGCTCCCCAGATCATTACTGGAAACCCCCTTTGCTTTTACTTTCCCAGGAGATATGTAGAAAATCACAACATGCCAGCTGGATAAATACCGAAAAACTCTATACTTAGCAAAGAAAATAGCTGGCATGTGTCCATCAAAAGTCACACTGGAAATTATGACTTCAGAGTCCTGGCAGAGACAGCCTGGCTATTGTACATCATGAAATAATCCAAGAACAAAGACAAATGTGCTCTAGATAACTCTGTGTTTTATAAAGTGGTATCCCTGCAAACTCAGAGATGATTAGATCCAATTGCTCATAAGACAGGCAGCTTTGCATGTCTATTTCTTCCTAAGGAGACCCCTTTCCATGCCCCTTCCCTGCCTGAGACAGGGTGTATAATTAGGGCACAACCCAGACAGGCACAGTAGTTTCTGAAAGAACAGCACGTTGATGCTGCATTCAGCACATTGGTTCCTGGGTGCAGCCAAAGGTCTGATCAAGAGCTTTCATACTGAGGCTGTGCCTCCTCACTTTCCTTCCCACTGCTTCAAGAAACCAAAAAAGAAAAGTTACTTATTTCCAATCAGAAAAACCTTTCCTTTCTGAGAAATGAGCAAAAGTTGCAGCCCCTTCTCTGGGCCCCAAGCCAGACACCAGCTCCTCATTAGATGAAGTCTCTCACACTGAGCCCAACTATTATTTTCTTCTTCCTCCTCATGTGCTAAGTGCAGTAAAGTTTAAAGCCAGCACTGTGTTGTACAAACGGCTAGTTTCGTGCCCCTGGAGGCTTGTCCAATCCACCTCTAGGAGAGAGTCTCACACACAGGCTGGGTCTAATTTTAGATTTATTGTTTGTAAACAAGTTTGACAAGGGAGTTTAATTTATTTAAATCCGTGTCGACCCCAAACAGAGTCTGGGGTTCCTTTTTATAGCTAACATAAACAAAAGATTCTAACGTGTCGCGTAATTATTGGTAGCCCAAGTATTATGTCTTATAACATATGTCTAGCAGGTATATGTTTTATGATGGTTTATATACATGTCTCATTTATATCTTAAATCTCCTCCCTGGGGCCGTCCTTAAGTCTATTTTGGTCATTTTTTGGTCAAGGTCTGAGTTTTTTATATCAGCACTTTTTTTTGTGCCTCTTTTTTTATTTCTCGTAAGGAGTTATTTGTTGTATCTGTTCTTGGCTATGTCTGTAGAAGTCTAGTGTTACTCGTAAATCTATCATTGGCCTATATACCTTAGCAGAAGCAAGTGTGATAATATGCAGAAGCAATTATGTAGTGAAACTAAACAGTTCTCAGCTGTGAAGCCTTTGTGTAGGGAGATGAGACATTTTTATCACACAGCTGCTACACAAACGTTATTGTAAAATCATAATGACTAGATTATAACATATTTTTATCACAACTGTGTTTTCTCTACAGTGATATGCCCCTTCCCTGTCTGGTTCCAAACCCTTGCAGGTTTGACAAGGAAAGGCAAAGTTTCACTCTCTGTGGAGTGTAACATACACAAAATGTACAAGCCATTTTATACAGCACAGGTGTTCTGGTTTTATGTTGCTCAGTATATTGTTGCATCCTGTCTCCTGTCGCCTGCTGCTGGATCTGAGGAGAAAAGTCTTGTATAAGCATGAGGGCAGGAAAACTCCCTGTGGTGTCCTGATACCTGAGGCACTTTGTTTAGGACCCCTGCTGTGGGCTGAAACCAGACCCCCTAGTCTCCTGTCACCTACAGCATGTAAACCAGATCCCATATCCTGGTTGGCTAGATTGGGCTGCGTTCTTTTTTTAATGAATTACTTAAGAGAGGAGCATGAAAGTATGGCAACCCCTGATTGGGAAAGCTAGGGTGATGTCACACTGGGTACATAGGAAGGGGCAGCTGGTTGGAGCTGGGGGAGGCACCTGGAGAGAGGGCCCCAGGGAGGCACCCCAGTGAGAGAAGACAATGTGGAAGGGAATGTGGCAGGCCAGTAAGGGGTGCTCCTGCACTGAGACACCACCTCACTGCTCCCGTCCACCTGCCAAGCTCTGAGTGCCGCTCTGGGGTGCCTCACATCTGGCTGACCCCCATCTGGGAACATACCTGCAAGCTTGGGGGTACCACCACCCAGGGAATCTGGTCTGTCTTTGGCTTTGTGCCCCCTGGGGTACACAGCCCTTGTAGACCTTGAGGGTGCTTAACCCACTGCAAGAACTTGGGGTGCTTCCTTTAGTCTGATGCATAAATAGTAGCTTCCCTTAGTTAAATTTCAGATTTTTCCAAATTTATAGTAATTTGTTTTCTCTATCTTGCTGGCAAGACTCTGGGAGGTATATCACAAGTCCACCATGCTTCGTACAGTGAAGAACTTTATTGGTTACAGACGGAAGGCTTGGGGAAGGGTGCAAGATAGAGAAGTATTACATAATAACCCTAAAGTAAGCAGTGTGGCTAGGTAGCCTTTGATCACGCATCTCTTTTACTGAAAGCTATATATCTAGATAGGTTTCAGCAGTTTACTCACTACAGCATCTTGAGAGAGAGAGCTGCAGATGTTTCAGCTGCTGTGTGTGTCTTTATCATGGTTGCTCTGCCCCGCATCCAGGGCAGTCTTCGCTTATATAGACCTTATGACATCAGCTTTGGGGGCCCAATGAAGGCCAGCAGTTGTTGGCTGCTAGCCAACTAATTTGAAATGCATCACCACTACCTGGTGGAGTGAAAGGGGCCTGCCTCCCCCCCTCCCCCAGGCCATGAGGTTTCTGCTTAGAACAATATAGAGGAAAATCCATCCCCCTCTCACCCAGTCCAGGTCATGTAGGTGAGCTGGTTGTTTAGCAACCAGAGTGATAGACAGGTAAGAAGACAACGAGAGAGGAAGAAAAACTAGCAGGAGAGACAGGGAAGAGACTGGGGAAGGAAATCCTCCATAGGGGAAACCTCAAGTAGAGGAAGAAAGTCTTTCTCAAGTTTGGGACTCCCCTTCTTTCCCTCCCCACCCCCATTTTTTTTGTTTTGTTTTTGTTGCTATCCTGGGTTTTGAGTGAGAGAAAATACCAGGGGTTATTAATCCCCAGTGCAGACTGACCAGGATTGGAACCTGGCAGATTTTGGCCAGGATTAAAGCCTGGCAGTTTTGGGCAGAAGCCTGTAAAACCACTTCTACGGGAATCCCAAATCTGCATGACTCTTGGTTGCTGTTGCAGTTTCTTTGTCCCAGCTGTGTGGTATGGTTGGGGTCTACTGTGCTCCAGGCCACATTGGAGATAGGCCTGGCCCACCTTTGAGTTATTTTTGCAGTTTTTCTGCCGCAGCAGAGCTGTGTGGTTAGAATTAGGACTTTTGGGTGTGCGGTATGCTGACTGGAGCCACAAGCAACCTGTCACAGCAACCACATAGGAGTGGAAATCAGTACCCTACAGCTTCCCAGGGAGCAATGAGGGGCCCCTTACGTTGCAGAAGAACTGACGCTCACTAGCAGCTCCCCAAGGTGCAGCAAATCCCAAGACCAGCTCATAGGACTCTCTGGTGTGGTCCATCCTGTCTAGCCTGTTGCTGAGTGGCTGGTGTAGGGTTACAGTCTCCCAGAACCAACCCTTTAGGTGAGCCCCTATGTCCCAGACTACCTAGGCATAGGTGGAGTCTCCCCAAAGCAGGTGCAAACTAGATACTATCCCTTGTAGTTAAGCGTGTTTGAATTGCATCTGGTGTTTCCTTTGCCCTTTGTTTTTGGTAATAAATCTGGCTGTGGTGTCCTGCATAAACAAAATCCCCTCCTCTCCAGGTGTGTAAACATAAAAAGACAGATTCTGTGATCCCAGATTTCTGGGTGGGGGCATGAGGCACAGTGAAAACATTGAATACCCCAGAATTTGAACCTAGTCCTTGTTGCTGCTAACCAGTGCCTGGCAGAAGAGTTACATCTGTTTGGTCAACCCAGCCATGCTGGCCAGGGGTATATGCTTAGAAGGGTAGTTGCAGCCAACTTCTTGTGTTGCAGAGCCGTCCCAAGGTTTGGGCTTAGCATTGTCTCAGGTACATGATAGGTGCAGGTTCTGTCCTTGGGCCTGTGGGCTCATGGGGGCAGGACTAGCTGTGCAGTAAAAATCCCCAGGCCCTACAGAGCAGTACTTTTCATTGCAACTCTTGATGCTGAGTTCTTACGGTAGGGCTACTTCTTGCAGAGACCTCCCTTGGGCAAAAGTGTCTAAGGAAGGGAAGGCATCGGTTTTCTTTTGTGGAGGAAATAAAATGAAGAGACAATTGTGTGGATACCTTTAAGAATTATGACAGCTGCAAAGGCTTGCTTGGCTGCGAGCTGAGTGGGTGAGCTGTGCCTAAGAACTTTGCAGGAAAGGCAGCAAAAAGTTTGCAGAGGGTGAAATAGCTTTTCCAGATAGAGGGTATGCTATGCACAATGCATACTTTTTACTGGAGCATTTGAACTGTGATCAGAGCCCCCATTGCAAACCCTGGGCTCTGATTGGCTACTATGGAGCCATAAAAAGCTGAGGGATGGAAAAGCAGCTGGTGAAAAGCCAAAGGAGAGCAACGTCAGCCTGGGGAGAGGGGTAGAGACTCAGGCCCTCCCCCAGCAGAGGGAATGGAGTTTAGGCTTGCTGGGGAGTGGACTTCAGGACAGAGGAGAGCCTGAGTCATCCTAGGAAAAGCTGATTCCCCATCCAGGTTGGAGCTGTGCAATCAGGGACACAGGTACCCAGGGAAAGAATGGGGTTGGTAAGCTAGCTGGGAGCTGGGAGGAGCTGCCTGGTGAGGGACCTGCAGAGGGAAGCCCTCTGGGCTGGAAAGTTTTGTAATACAAGAACAGAGACCTGCAGAGGAAATCCCCTGTCTGCATGTGGCGGTGGTAGAGGAGAGAGAGAGAGCCCAGAGAGGGAGCAGGCTGTGAGAATCCCAAATCTGCATGGGTGTGTGGGGGGAAACTTAACCCCTAGTGTTTGCAGGAGGTGTATTTTTCAGAGGGAAACTAAAGAAAGGAAGCCTATTACCTGCAGTGGCTGGTAGGAGGCTTGTTTTTGCTGAGTTACCAAGAAAGAGCAAAAAGTCCACCTCCCCTGGAGTAGCAGAAGCTTTGTCTCTGCCACCTAGTGGTAGATCATAGTTAAAGCTGTATTGCCATTTATTTATGGGAAGGGGCATGTGACCAGAGGGAAATCAACCTGGGTTATGGCTGGGAAACTGTTTTAAAGTGTTATAACCAGGTGAATGTAATCATTGAGGTTGTTTGATGCACATGGGACTATTCATCTATTCCTGCAGTTGTAAATTCTATTTAAATTGTTGGTTTTATTATTGACTCTTGGTATGTGTGTATTAATCTTGATTAATCATTTATTTTCTGTATATAGTTGTGTATAACAAAGAAACCCATTTGTTTATTGGACATAAAGTAAATTCTTGGGCAGTGAGGGTGAGAGACACATCTCTCCACAGGGCACCTCAGTCAGCAGACACGCCTGAGGGGGTTCCCAGGGCTACTGGCACTCTGAGGATCCAGAATCCAGCATATCGCCTGGCCTAGCATGCCGGCAAGGGTTACATATAAGTTGCTACAATAGCCCTGGGAAACAAGCAGAGGAGAACAGCAAAGAAAGGGACTAAGAGGACTCTGAATAAACAAATATTATCATTCTATAAGCTTAACTTCTTGGTCTTTTGAGAATAACAAAACAATGACCCTCAGCACTGAAGCTGTTTCATATAGTAGGGAAGCCAGAGAAGGAAATGGCAAGGAGCTGGGAATATGGCTTAGAAGAGAAAGTCATCCAGTGTGTGATGCTACCACAATAAGAGAGCGCACAGCTGATACTTCATTGCTGCTCATGGAGAAGGTGTAATAGTTACAGGAGAATCTAAGGGGAGTCCAGGGTGCCAGACCAGAGCAGGAAGCTGTGCTAGATGAACTCGCATTCAGCAATTCACCTGTGCAATGCAACAGCTGCCACGTGGGTGCCAAGCGGGGCAGGCAGGGTTGATCCCTGCTTCCCTGCACATCATGGTGGGGCTCTACCATGAGCCCCCAGAGGCCCTGATCACTGCTGCCAGCTGCCAGAACCAGTGAGTGCAGGGCAAGAGGAGGAGATCGGGAAGTGGGAGCTGTGCAGGGGGGCTTTGCCATGTGGCCCCAGAGACCCACAACCACTGCTACAGCCGGTGTGTGTGGAGCTTTTTTTTTTTAAGGCTGGACTGGGTGGGGGATTGGGGCCAAGCAGGTCAGCTATTGGGGCTTCTCCCACAGCTGTGCTTGGCGCTGGCTGCATGGAGCAGACTCGGGTCCTGGTGCTGGCCCCAGCCAGCAGCAACAGCATGTTGTCATCCCACACACAGATCTGGGGGTCCACGCCCCCTGGGCAGGGCTGCAAGGTTGTACCAGACTCCTCCCAGGGGGTGCGGGCCCCTGGATCCGCACGCAGGATGACAGCAAGCTGCCGTCCATCCCCCAGAGCACTGGGATTGGGAGGGACCTCAGGGACAGATCGCAGACACTGGCCAGCTACAGATGTCAATATCAGAGCAGTCCTTCTGCCCCTCTTCCCCACCCTCTTCTTAGTTTCTGTTTCCCTGCAAGCCTGGCCCCAAAACATCCAAAACATTTCAGATGGTTTTGTTTCATCTCGGACATGTTTTGGAGCCTTCCGTTTCATTTCAGGTTCGGTGTTTTGGGTGCCAAAACGGGATGAAACACCTCCGAAACTAAACAGCTGCCAAAATTTCTCACAGCCCTACTATAGAGAGATACAGCCCACTGTGAAACACACAGTAAAGAGGAAAGTTCTTACTGTGCTACATCCTTGCATGTTAGGTCCTAGTATTGGCCTGAGATCTTGCAGTGGCCAGAGGAAACTCTGCAAGGACACATTGAAAACATACCTCAAGAAAATGGATGCCGAAGTCAAGGCTGTGGAGAACCTGGATCCTAACCAACTCCAATGGCAACCAAGCAGCTGCCCATTTCACGGTAAAGCAATTTGCTCTTGAAGCAGAGAAGAGAAAGTAAGGAGAGAAAAAGAAAGAAATCCTGTCTTATGGCCTACCCTCCCCTGCAGAAATTCCTGCAACTTCTGTGGACAGGTCTGTGACTGAAGGATTGGACTCTTAAGTCACCTCAAAACCCATCAGAGCTGTGGTAAACATCATCCTTGAACTGAGGAATTCCAGATGTGCATGTTAACATTAGACTTCAAGTCAGCTGGACAGTTATCACTGCACGCTTCTCAGAGGCACAGTAAGTACCTAGTAGACTGATTTAGTGATCCAGACACGTGTATCATACATGCCTCTTAAAACGCTTCTACAGGAAAAAATCTATTCCAAAAACCCGGAAACCATTGGGGCTGGGAGTCGAGACATGTAAACTGCTCCATGCAGCTCAGGCAATATTGACAGATGCTGGCTAGACAAGGCAAAAGAATGAGCTGGGAGGATTGCTAGTTTGAAATGTGACCTGCTTAGTAGGGCTGTGCGGAGCTTCAGTCCCTGATTTGATTCAGCCAATTCACTGGCGGAGAGATTTGGAAAGGTTTGGCGATTCGGACATAAACACCGTTTTAAATGTTTTTTAGTTTTTTTCTACTTACCTCTAGGTAGCAGGCGGCTCATGAATGCTGCAATGCTGGGGTGGATGGAGTGTTCCACAGAAGTGTGGGGGTCTCTCCAGCACACTCAGCAGCAAACCCAGAAGTGGACCAGAAGCACTTCCAATCCACTTCTGGGTCCACTGGAGAGTGCGCAGGGGGCCCCCCTGCACTCCCCAGCTCAACGACTGGTGCCTCCTGGGTCTGAGGAGGGCACTTGGGGTCCCAGCGAACTTCCGGTCCACCACCGAGCACATGGAGGGCCCCCTCCACGCTCCTGTAGGACGCTTCATCCGCCCCAGCATTGCAGCATTCACAAGCCATGCTGGTACCTCAAGGTATGGAGAAAAAACATTTAATGCTGTGTCTATGTCCAGATCACTGATTCTCTGAATCAGCATCGAATCTTCAGATTCGGATTCGGCCGAATCAAATTGGGGACATTGGCCGAATCAAATCATTGTCCCCTATTTGGGCCAAATCAAATACAGCCCGCTTCACACTCCCCTACTGCTTAGTGAGCATGGGAGGCAGTCTACTGCCAGGCTATAACAGGTTTGGGTGTGTTCAGCAGTCAGCTGCTAGGCTCCATTCTTTTTTGAGCTACACAAGTGCTAAGCCATTACCCCAGGATTTGCGGAGAGCCTGAGTTGTGTTTCTTTGCCCTTCAAAGAAGCACTTTGAGAGAGGACAGCCTTAACTGAAGGGGAAAGAGAAATCGGAGACCGAAATAGAGTATCCTGAGGGCAGAGGGTGTGGGCACCTCCTCTGTCTGATGGTTCCTCTCTGGAGAGAGGAGAGCCCTTAGCAATTTAAAAGAGTAGGAGCAAGAAAACAAAGGCATTCCAATTGGAAAGCTTCATCCATCAACTTTTTAAGTGTAACCTTAAAAGGTCATAAAACAGACATGACCCCGTGCCTCATTCAGATATGAATTTTTGCAGTCTTGTGAACTTTCTGGAATGTACTGGGATTTCAGGGACTGCTCTCTGTTGAAGATATCTGGGATAAATAATTGGGTCTGCTGGACATTGGGTACATCTACATGAGAGATTTACTGAGCAGTTGACAACTAACTGCACAGTAAATGTCTCAGCATCTACACATGCACCCCTATTAGGACGCACAAAACTAATAAACTCTGCGTCAGGGTAGGACTTGTACCCTGCTGCACGGTGGGGTTTTTTTGTGCACTGTAGTTCACATGTAGAGACTGAGCCTACTGGTTGTAGCACAAGGGTACTTCAGTGTGGGGGAAGCACTCTTGTGCCCCAGCCAGCCTCTCCACAGCACACTGAGCCCAGTTGGAGCAGCCCCAGGCTGGCAGGCTGACTTCCCCCCGCTCGCTGTCAGCCGGGGCTGCTGCAACCTGGCTCAACATGGTGCGATCTGAGTGCACATGTAAACGGCATGACTGGGAGCTTCCTATGAGTAATAAGTTGTGGAGCAATAAGTTCTACAGTTTCTTGCTGTGCATTAATGACACTTGTAGATGAGTGCATTATCTGTGTGATCCTTGGCAAGAGGTTTCATCATTTTGAATCCTGGTCTCCCCTAAGTCAAAGTCCTTAGTCTTCCTTGTATGTTTTTCAGGGTACTGACTGCCTCATTGTGAGTGGATCCAGATCCTACCACAAAGAAGACCTTTATATGACATTAAATAAGAATAATTCCACCAAATACAACATAAAGACTTTTCCCTAGTTTTCTGAACGCATTTGATTTTAAAACAAGAGCTGTTACAGAGTTTGGGTCCACTCATTCTCAGGTTTACAGTTTATTTAATTCTGGACATAACAGTGAAAAAAGAAAAACGGTGTAATGATAATTAAATTGTAGGGGATCTATCACATTATGGGACTGTCTTCTGATAGCTCTTTAATTATGTCAGCAGGATTTTCTATGTAAAAGCATGACAGCTTTTTGTACACTTCACCCATGCTCTTGATTGCCCTCAAGCAAAAACTGCACCATATATAAGAGCTCATGCTGGGGTGTCATAAGCAGGGATCCTGGCTTTCTATTTAAAAAAAATAAATAAAAAATTCTCTGATTAAAAATCCACATTTTTCCATGATTACAATGAAATGCCACTCTATATTTAAATACATAGGTATGGATATGTTTGTATATGTATCAGTTGAACACAATGATTCATGGATCGTGGCAACTGTCAATCCTCCTGGATCATGGTGTATGCTTGAAGACCATCCAGACCTTTGATGCATATGCCTGGGCAGGAATCTTTTTTTTGGAGGAGTGGAGGCTGATATATTGATATTTTTACAATTTTAAAGCAGTTTGGAAGCCTACCAGTGCCTAAATAATTATAATAAAATAAATTTGAAATACCTATACTTTAGCATTTCATTTTGGTTTTTTTTTATCATGGAAATACAGAGCCCTGCCCCCTTCACTCAACAGGACATGGGTCCAGCTCTGGCTGTCTTGGCCACTACTTTGTGGTACTGAGCAGCCCTGACATGCCAGTGCCATGCCCCTGCCCATGCCATTTTCCCTTCAGTCCCAAGCCATAGCCGCCGCCACCCCCCCGCTGATGTCTCTCATTCCTGCCATGTTGGAGGGTGCCCCCAGCTTCCCCCTCACCCCTAGGCCCCATCCAAAAAAAGAGCATCATTTAAAAAAGCATGCTCAATGCCTCCCAGAGCAGGTGTTCATTTCTTCTGACAAATGCACTCTTTAAACCTGCAAGCAAACTTTACACGCTGGTAGCAAAACACCTACAATCTCTCCTGGCTTGAAAAACAAACTGTTTGGTAGCCAGGTTGTTTCTGCTATTAAGTCTGTGCTGAGAAGCAGGGGAGAGAGACTGGTTTTCTCTGGGAATTCTGAGCAGAAAAGTCTGACAGAACAAGTTTTTTCTGGGGCTGGGCTGAAGTAACACCTGAGTTGCTCTGACACTGCCCTCGGCAGAAACTGGGGGGTGTTCCTGTGCTCAGACATGCCCTGGCCTGTCCCATGGAGTTCCATGATGTCTTTGAATCAGAATCATAGACAATGAGGGCTGGAAGGGATCTCAGGAGGTCACCTAGTGCAACCCCCATAGTGGTAACGGGGGAACACAACAGACACATTGGAGGTGTTGAGAGGGACAACCCCTCACCCTGGAGTGCAGAAAACAGACTAGGGCTAGGGACAGAAATTACACATAAACTAGTTTAAGTGATCAGAAACTGGTTTAAACCTGTAACAGAACAGAAGTTCAGTGCACATAAACCAGTTTAAAAAATGGCCGAAACTGGTTTAAGATAAACCTGGTTGAATGTAGTATCAGACTTAACTGATTTAGAGCAAACCAGTTTGTGGAACTTGTCCTAAACCCCTTCCTGGTTCAAGTTAATTCACAGTTGTGTGTGTGCCCCCCATCAGTTTAATCAGGCTCACAGCATGCTTTGCAACCCTGGGCTGGGCTGTCTGCTCAAGCAGAATACAGTTGGTCCTGCCCTTCCGCTCTCTAGCCTCTGCAGTGACGGCTGGCTGACAAGGGGGTGGGGGGGGGAAGCCCAGCCGGCACAGCTCTGTCTGCCTGGTGGAGGTGGAGCAGACCCTGCCAGACTTTTCCCTGCTGGAGTGGAAAGAATGGGGGCAGGGGCCAGCAGGCTTAGTGGGAGGAAAGAGGAATAAACCCCACTGCCTTCCCTCTCCCACCCATACAGGACCCCAGCCTGGGTCCACCTGCTTTCCCCACTGCTCCCTGCTCTAGAGGAGGGGTGTGTGACCAAAGCCCGTCCAGGCAGCAGGTGAAGGGGGAGTGGGAGGGGGATTAAATCCCCCATCTCCCCTCTCTCCCACCAGCACAGGGCCCCTGCTGGGGTCTGCCGGCCTTCCCCCCCCACTGGCCACTCATGGCGGGGGCCACAGCCGGAGTCAGGCCAAGCAGCAGCCTCAGGCAAAGGTGGGGCAGGGAGGAGGATTAAACCCCCCTGCCTTCCACTCGGGCAGTGCCCAGCTTTTCCGCTGCTCACCACTTGCAGGGAGAACACATGGCCAGAGCCAACCCAAGCAGCGCCTCATTACTGCTCCAAAATCTCCTCTCCTGTCTCACAGGAGGTCGTTCAGGAATTGCCTACCTGCCAATGACACACTATAAATGCATAACATCACCTGGCATTCGCTGGCTCCCTGGGACGGAAGCTGGGAGCGGCTTGTTGGGACATGAGAGCGACTCCATGCCCGGGGTTCTGCTCCAAACAGATCCTTCTGCTGCTCGGGCAGCTGTTTGTCTGTACCAGCTTTGTTTGTGCAGCCCAGAGACTCGGGGCGGTACCAGACAAGCAGCGGCCCAAGGATCAGGGGGGATCTGTTTGGAGCAGATGGGAGCCAGCTGTTGCTGTTGGGAGCCAGCAAGCACCAGGCGATACAACACATTTATAGCACATCATTTATAGCACATCATTGGCAGATGGGTAACTGCCACTCTGGGAGTTGTCACTCTTCCAGGGACTCTACCATCTACATGAGCCAAAATAGCAAATGCTGGGTAGGGAGGCCCACAGGGAAGTTGTGGGAATGGTGTCTGGCTACTCAGCTGCTGGATTTGTACCAGGTCTGATAGATTTGTTTTGGTGATCCTATAGACTTGTCAAAGCCTTTCATGAGAAATATGTGGGCAAACTGCAAAATAGTGGGACAGTAGTGGGGAAGCTTTCCTGACATTCTGCATTGTGGTTGTCCAGACTCCAGTCATTGATGTTGTTGCACAAACGGCTAGTTTCGTGTCCCTGGAGGCTTGTCCAATCCACCTCTAGGAGAGAGTCTCACACACAGGCTGGGTCCAATTTCAGATTTATTGTTTGCAAACAAGTTCGACAAGGGAGCTTAATTTACTCAAATCCGTGTCGACCCCAAACAGAGTCTGGGGTTCCTTTTTATAGCTAACATAAACAAAAGATTCTAACGTGTCGCGTAATTATTGGTAGCCCAAGTATTACGTCTTACAACATATGTCTAGCAGGTACATGTTCTATGATGGTTTACATACATGTCTCATTTACATCTTAAATCTCCTCCCTGGGGCCGTCCTTAAGTCCATTTCGGTCATTCTTTGGTCAAGGTCTGAGTTCTTCACATCAGCACCTTTCCCTGTGCCTCTTCTCTTATCTCTCGTAAGGAGTTATTTGTTGCATCTGTTCCTGGCTATGTCTGCAGAAGTCTAGTGCTACTCGTAAATCTATCATTGGCCTACATACCTTAGCAGAAGCAAGTGTGATAATATGCAGAAGCAATTATGTAGTGAAACTAAACAGTTCTCAGCTGTGAAGCCTTTGTGTAGGGAGATGAGACATTTTTTTACCACACAGCTGCTACACAAACGTTATTGCAAAATCATAATGACTAGATTATAACATATTTTTACCACAATTCCCCCCTCAAGATGCTTTCTAACTCTAATCTTAATAATTTTCAGCTATGGCTAACTTCTGATAATGCACAAACATCTCTTGGTTGACGACTGACTGTACTGTTCGT